TAAAATGCAGCTTTAATTTACTCTGATTTTGAATCTTGGATAGCATAAGATCATTAAAAAAAGAGAACAAAAACAACTTTTAGAAAATAAAGAACTATCGATAAACCATTTCTCCTTTGTTGTGGGTGGACTGGATCAGTCTTTGAAGAGGTTTTGTGAGGAAGTTGTTCCCAAGCTTCTGACTCACAAACTAACATGGCAGTGACTTGCAATCACAAATATTGCAGGTTTAAGTGTACAAACTTAAATAATAACCCCATTTTAATAATTCACAGAATCCGAAAACAGTCTTAACYAACAAGTACATACAATGCAGTATTTTCTAATTATATGGGACGTGGCCTCAAATAGGTTTTGTTTTGTACTTGGAGTCTCTARGAGTGCAGAAAAGTTGAATTTAGTCTCTCCTGGTGCTGCGTCAATATTTTAATATTCTGTTTGGGTCATATCTTTTAGTTCATTCACTTTTTTGTATTCCCTATTTTGTTTTATGATAAATAAGTATTTGCTGCAGAACTGCTGTATTCATCCTCCTCTGGCTCTGGGTCAGACAAGGACTCCAACATGTAAGGCTGGATGGACAAGGATCAGTGTCAGGATCAGGATTCATTCACTGTCACAGGTTAACACAAGTCAACACTGCAATGAAATTCTTAGGATGAGAAAAAAAACATCCAACTAGTTATGTAAAAAGAACAGGAAATTCACATAGCTTGCAGTAGATGCACAGAAAATAATAATAAAAAAGTKTAAGGGTTATATATACAATTTAAAGTGAATGTGGTGAACGACAAATAATGATAAAAATAATATTGATGTCAAGAGGAGCCAGTTGAGGTGGCTCGGGCATCTGGTTAGGATGCCTCCTGGACGCCTCCCTGGTGAGGTGTTCCGGTCACGTCCCACTGGGAGGAGGCCCAGAGGAAGACCCAGGACACGCTGGAGGGACTATGTTTCTCAGCTGGCCTGGGAACACCTTGGGAGTCCCCCAGAGGAGCTGGTCCAAGTGGCTGGAGAGAGGATGGATGGATGGATGGATGGATGGATGGATGGATGGATGGATGGATGGATGGATGGATGGATGGATGGATGAATAACATATACAAAAAGTATTTCGCCAGTGATATTGGTTAAGGCATAATTGTATTTCAAAATACGTGTATTGCACATGGCATACGCCCAGGCTACCTTTGTTGAAATTGTTATCAAAATTGGTAAACTAAAATATTCTGCACTGCTAAGCGTAGCTCTGCTATCAAACTTAAAAAAGGCCAAACGTTGTGGAGTGAAATGCTCTAAGACTTGCRATGGAGAGGGGTTTAAAGTGCCTCATTTGCATTTAAAGAGACAGCATCAAAACGAGTTGCTCTGAGACACACCTCACTAAACGAATGAAATAGGGGCTTGTGGAGTTACAATAAGGAGGAATTCAGGCCAAAGCATTGTAGTTMCACTTTATATAGACTGCRACTGAATGATTTAAATGYGAATGGTGTTATTTTCTGGAGAGATTCTGAGTTTTTGCGGTTTATATTTGTCGTGTCTGACCACAGCATCAGTCCACGCTCCAGGTGGAAAAAGCAGAAATGACCACAAAAAAACGCCACATGGCGATTGTTTGTCTGTCACCACGAGCCAGCAGACAGGAAGCCACTTGTCTGTGCCACAGTATTTATTTGTAAAGAACCTGTTGAAACACGAGGGCATATTTTCCTTTCATGACCACAAACGCAGATGGCTTTGTCTGAAGAGTTTAGTGATGTAGCYGGTTAAAGCTAAAGTCAACAGCCTGGTGTCAGCAGGAGGTTATCAAAGTCCCCACCCCCACTCCCCCTATATATGTGAAGCTAAGCTCACTGATTGATGGAGGGGCCCTGTTACTGATACTGTTATATCAAATATAAACACAAGCTAGCCAGCTGAAGTCTAAGTGTGAGTAAACTGAGATAAAGCAAGAAAAAAAAAGAGTATGAACTCAACAAGTTCCTGTTTTCTGAGCTTCATCTTCAATCTTAGTCATGGAGGATAATCTGTACAATAATCTGTATTTTCTGGGTAATGATTAAGTGAAGTCTGTTGGTAATTAGCTTCGTTTTTCTTGTGGCAGATTGCACCAAAACGGCCAACAAAGCTGCAGGAATTTTGCTGACGCACACCCAGAACGCTTGGTTTAATCCTGAACGCCCGGTCCTGTTAAATCAGCACAAATTTAACAGAACTGTTTGAAAACCCCAAACGGGCGCGCGGTACTGCTCACAATCAATGCACGGATAATTACGAATAATAAAAAAAAAAGAGCTGCTTAGAGAAGATTAACAGGAAAGCAGCACCCATTTTTCTCAACGTTTCCTTCCTTCCTTCATCGCATCCGAACTTTACTTCCTGATGGTTTTCCTCGCTTCAGTTTGGGAGCAGTGATCTCGAATTTTCASCCCGAGAGAGAAAATAGCCCCACGCTAAGTCCGACGAGGTTTCTTGCGTTCTCCATGACACGATTGAATATTTAGTGGTCCATGGCTCCGGTTTTAAGAGAGGCAGACATAAACAGCTCATCAGGCTGTTAGGGGTGTTTCAGGATGGGGACGTCGTGTCTGTGCATGTGTGGACAGAGGGCGGGYGGCGTGAAACCTTAAAGCCCTTGCAGCTTGACCATGCATGAACGGGAGGATGCCATGACCGGGAATTTGAGGGGTCAAGGCCGGGAATTTGTGATTCCCTGTGTCAGAGTATATTTAAGCGGAAAGAATGCGCGGTGTAACGTAAGGAAGGAGCTAACGGGTGTGGGAAGGTCCTCGCCTGGCTTTACAGCATGAAACAGCTGCTGATATAGAGGAACTGAATACTAAGTTTAGAAAATTGCTCGGTTTCTACTCCAACAGGATGTTTGACAAAAGGAAAAAAAAAAAGATCTGAGGGGTTTCATATACGTGTTGGTGTGTGTATGTAAAAGGATGAAAGAGAGGAAAAGCRATCTTTAAATACAAAAACAAACACAAACCAATGAAGGCGTTTACATTTTCAGACATATGAAAGACCAAACCTGGAAGCCTAAAACAGACCTCGGACGCTCGTGGGTTTTTGAGTCCATTTGTTGGGGTCGAGCCACTCGGAGGGCGGGCTGGGTGTGGAGCAAAGGTGCTGAGGGTTTTATGTTGTCCTGTCAGCTCCTCAGAGCCTCCGATGATGGACAGGAGGAGTGTTCAGGATGAATCTGAGACCTACCACTCCTTTTAACTGACCGTTACCACCCAGTAACTATCGTCACCATCACACGCATGTGGAACATTTTAGAAACATCGCCTTATGATTAATAGAGATATAAATCTAGCAGCACCCACAGTGGAATGAAGGGATGCAACAATMCCAGCATCATACCTACTCATATTTGTATTTGTAAAAGTGTTCCTACTGGCCTTTAGCTTGTCTGTCTGGTCAAAAAACAAAAAATAAACTCAATTTATCCCAACTAAGGTCATTCAAAGAGCTATCTACTACAGGTAAGATATTACGTTTTCATGGTGTCTCCAYAGAACCTAAAATCTGAACTATCCCTTTAAGATTATAAGGATAAATCATTTTATTAATGTGTTGCTAGCAGATTTTGAGCTTCCCATTAATGAATGGTCCCTCCTGCTCCACTTGCTTTAGTTTAGTTTAATCTTGGGTTTGTTTTGCTTCCAGAATTCCAGCTTAATTAAATCCACACTCTGTGGTGTTTAAGAGGTCGGCTTCGTTCCAYGAAACCAAAGGTCGTGTACAGAACCAGGACAGTTATTTTATAATGCAGAACTTTGATAAGAATATTAACAAACTGGAGCAAATTTGATGTTTTTATGACATTTAGCTCAGTTTTTCTACATTTATTGGTCTATAATGGTCTGATTTGAAAATGTTACAGTTTTTTTCTAAAATGTTAAGTTGTTTGTTKTCACTTTGGGTCTTTATTTTCTACCTTTAAAACTGTTATACTATTTGGAAAGCTATTATAATGCAGGACTAATGTAGTTTCTGTTTTATTTTTTCTAAAGGTTGATTTGAGGTAAAGTAAAACRAATTAAAAGTTAGTTTTCACTGACGGAGATATAACTGCAGACATTTTCAATTAAATTTCAAATATGGCCAATATAAATTAACTTGTTTGTATTAGGATAGTGGTCATTTTACTACAAGATTAAAATCCAAATAATAATAATACAACTCCTAATAAGTGCCATACAACTTTTTGTCCCTCAAGACATTTTTCTATTTGTTAATTTGCAAAAAAATAAATAAATAAAATTAAAAGAAAACTATACAAGCAACAATAGGTATAGATGAATCTTTGATGAAGTTCCACACAGATGGAAGAAAACAACACAGGACAAATGCTAAATTATATATAAGCCCAAAATAATCATCTGTATCTGTGCAGCTTATCACTCTAATAAAACTAGATTATGTCAGAATCCAGCTCACCTCCATCTGTTCATGACAAAAAAAAAAAAAAA